GCCGACACGGAAAGGGGCCGAGCGACGCGAGCGCCGCCGCCTCACCCCGCCGCCCCCGCCGCCCTCACGGCCCCCGCGCCGCCTCCCATTGGCTGACGCCTCGCGGCGCTGCCGCCTCATTGGGTGGCTGGACGAGCTCCGCCCACAGTCCCGCCGCTGATTGGCTGATCCAAGGAACGTCCCGCCCCCGCGGCGCGGTGATTGGGGGGAATTGTTGTCGCCACGCCCCGCGCGGCTTTTCCCGCTCCGGCCCGGAGACTCCCCGGCGTGCCGCGGATTGGTTGGAGAGGCGGAGGGCCCTCCCCCAGCTAGGCGCTCATTGGCCGGGCACGCGGGGGGACGGTCCCCATTGGCGGGCGCGGCCGTCGCTCAGCCGCTGGGCCGCCGGCGGGCCCAGCGCAGCTCGGCGAGCGCGGCGCGGCGGGCGCAGAGCGGGGCGGCGGCGGCGACTCCCGGCGGCGGCGAGAAGGGGCCGCACGCCCGCCGGCCCCAAGGTGCGCCCGGAGCAGCGCATGCGCCAATCGCGGCGGGCTCTGGGGAGGGGGGAAAGGCGGGCGGACGCATGCGCGGAACGCGGCCGGCGGCGCCTGCGCGCTGCGGGCGGTTTTGGCGGGCGGAGCGCGGAGCGGCGGCAGCTCGGAGCGGCGGCCAAACCGCGGCGGACGGGCCCGCGCCGGAGCCGCTCCCCGCGCAGGTAGCGCCGGCGGCGGGCGGCGGATGAATGGGCGGCAGCGGGGGGGCGGGTCCGTCGCTGTGACGGGCAGGCGCGGTGGCCAATGGATGCTGGCGGGAGGCGGAGCCACGCGCGGAGTGACGGGGGCGGTAGTTAATACCAGTGAGCGGGAGGCGGGGCGGAATGTGGATTGACAGGAGCGCGGACCAATAGCGGCGCGGTGAAGGCGGGGCGGTGCTTGGAGTGACGGTTTCACCGCCCAATAGTGGCTCGGCGGGGCTGTGGCGACCTGCGGGGCGCTCAGCCAATCACCGTGCGGGCGCGCGGCTGCTCTGACCAATCGGGTACTGCGGCGCGCTTCTCGCCCCGCCCCCAGGCCCGCGCACCGGGCCCCTCAGCGGCGCTTTGAACCCAAATCTGCGGCTTTTTACCTCAAAATTGCGGTTTCTGCCCTCAAACCGCCGGGTCCCCCCTCAAACCGGCGCTTTCCCGCCTCACACTGTCAGCTTTTCCCTCAGAGCTGCGGTTTTTAGCCCTGGAGAGGCGCTTTTGGCCTCAGCGCGGCGCCTTCCCTTTGTTCCCTCAGGATTCCCGGGCGCGGGATCCGGGACCGGCGCCCCGGGGGCTCCGCCGTGCATTTTCCTTTCCCTAAATCGCCTTTTCCCACCCAAACCGGCCCCTTTTCCCTTAGGAATCCACCCAGAACCTCCTGGTTCCCGCCCGAAACCCTGCCGGCAATCCGGCAGGAAATTCCAGCCGGGAGCGAGGAATTCCCCGCGTCCCTCCCGGGGCTCCGTTTGGAAGAGAGAAATCCGCTAAAATCCTGCCTAGAGGGAGGGGAAAATCCCCAGTTGGGGTTTTCTTAAAACGTCTTTTTTTTAATCGTCCTCATTTTTAAGGGATTTAGCCCAAATTCCATTTCCCCGCTCTCAAATTCCTCCTCAGTTTTAGGGGATTTATTCCAAATTCCGTTTCGCTTTGCCTAAATTCTCTGGGGTTTTTTAGGGGCTTTTAGCCCAAGTCTTTTTTCTTTGTGCCTAAATCCCCGCTGGTTTTTAGGAATCGGCCCCTCCTGTTCTCCCTCCTTGGGATTTCCCTTTGGGGATCCTAAAATGACCCCAAATCCCTTTTTGGGATCCCAAAATTATCCCAAATCCCTTTTGGGGATTCCAAGATGACCCCAAATCCCTCTTGGGGATCCCCAGGTTGCTCCAACGTCGCCTTTAAAGGGCTCCAGGAGCCTCAAATCTCCCTTTTGGGGGTCCTGAGATGAGCCCAAATCCCCCCCTGAGCTGTCCCCTGTCCCCCCTGGGTGACAGCACCGTGTCCCCAGTGCTGTGCTGTGGGCAGGAGCAGCCCCTGTATGGTGACATTCCCTGTGCCACGGTGACATTCTGTGCCTGTCCCTGTCCCCAGAGCGGTGGCTGCGCTATGGGCAGGAGGAGCCGGCGGGCAGCCGACAGCTCGTCCTCGGGGGAGGAGGAGGAGTATGTGGTGGAGAAGGTTCTGGACCGGCGCGTGGTGAGGGGCCAGGCCGAGTACCTGCTCAAGTGGAAGGGCTTCTCCGAGTGAGTGACAGCGGGGACAGCCCCAGGGGGGACACAGCACCCTGGGTGTCACCCGAGTGTCCCCTGACCCTGTGAGTGACAGTGGGGACAGCCCCGGGGGGGGACACAGCACCCTGGGTGTCCCCTGACCGTGTCCATGGGTGTCCCCTGAGTGTCCCTGGATGTCCCCTGTCTCCTGTCCGTGTCCCTGGGTGTCTCCTGACCATGTCCCTGGATGTCCCCTGAGTGCCCCTGGATGTCCCCTCTCTCCTGACCATGTCCCTGGCTGCCCCCGGATATCCCCTGGGTGCCTCTGGGTCTCCCTGGATGTCCCCGGGTGTCCCCTGACCATGTCCCCTGTGCCCTGACCATGTCCCCGTGTGTCCCCCAGGGAGCACAACACGTGGGAGCCCGAGAAGAACCTGGACTGCCCCGAGCTGATCTCGCAGTTCCTGCGCAAGGACCGCAGGATGAGGGACATGAGGGACAGCGAGGGGACGCGGCCCCGCGAGCGCCCCGAGGGCGCCAAGCGCAAGGGACTGCCCGGGGAGGACGGCAGGGCCAAGAAGAAGAGGGAGGTGAGAGGGGACATGGGGACACTGGGAGGGGACAGGAACACGGGGATAGGGACAGGGACGTGGGGAGGGGACAGGGACGTGGGGATGGGCGTGGGAATTCAGGGATGGGGACAGTGCCCAGGCACAGGGTCACGCCCCCAGTGCCACCACGCTGGGACCCTTCCCTGACCTCTCCTCTCCCCAAAATCCCATTTTTCCCAAACCAATCTCATTTTCCCCAAAACCACCCCTTTAACCCCAGAGCAACGACATCGCCCGCGGCTTCGAGCGGGGGCTGGAGCCCGAGAAGATCATCGGGGCCACCGACTCCTGCGGGGACCTCATGTTCCTCATGAAGTGGTGAGGCCACCTCCTCGCTGTCCCCTGGGACCCCCCGGTTCCTGTCTGTGTCCCCAGTTTGTCTCTTTGTCCCCAGTTTGTGTCCCCAGTTTATCCCCGTGTCCCCAGCCCGTCCCCTGACCCTGTGTCCCCGCAGGAAGGACACGGACGAGGCTGACCTGGTGCTGGCCAAGGAGGCCAACCTCAAGTGTCCCCAGATTGTCATCGCGTTCTACGAGGAGCGGCTGACGTGGCACGCGTACCCCGAGGACAGCGAGCCCAAGGAGTGGGACCCCCCCCGCAGCTAAGCCCCCTCCCCAATCTGTACAGACACCCCGGACTGTCCCCTGGCCCCTCCCGTGTGCCCCTGGGCACAGGGGGACCCTTCCCTGCCCTGGGCGTGTCCCCAGCCTGTCCCCACCCCCGGGGCAGGTTTGGGGGGTGGCCCCGATTTTGGTGTTTTTTAAAGTCGGTGTTTTTAGCCGGGGCCCCCCCGGGGTGTCCCCGTGTCCCCCCTGTCCCCTCTGATCCCCACCCCCGTGTTGTCCCCAAGCCCCCGGATTTGCTTCCAATAAACAACGGTCACTTTTCAGAGCTGCCACCTGTGGGGCTGGGGACACTGCTGGCACCAACATGGCCCGGTGTCACCAGCACGGTGTCACCAGCATGGCCCAGTGTCACCAGCATGGCCTGGTGTCCCCCCACCAGTGTCCCCAGTATGGCCCCGTGTCCCTCCCCCCCCCCTCAGCGCTGCCCCCTGCTGGTGACAGCGGGCGCTGCACGGGGACAGCGCGGGGACAAAGGGGACCCGGGGACAGCGGGGGTGGCACTGGGGGGGCCCGGAGGGGACAAAGGGGACCCCTGGGGATGGGGCAGGGGCTGTTTGGGGACACCGCAGTGACACAGGGAGGGTTTGGGGACACTTGGGTGGCAATGGAGGGGAGGTTGGGGACACTCTGGTGACACCGAGGAGGGTTTGGGGACACTCTGGTCACACCGAGGAGGGTTTGGGGACACTGGTGACATCGGGGGAGGTTGGGGGCGCTCCGGTCACACCGGGGGAGGTCGGGGGCGCTCCCTCCCGTTCCCGCTAGGGGGCGCGCTCAAGCCGCCGCAGCTCCGCGTGCCCCGCCCCCTCACCGTGGGAAGGGGCGTGGCCTGAGCAGACTCCGCCTCCTGCTGTGAGTGCCCCCGAATCTCCCACGCGTGTCTGGTACGCCGGGGGGGTCTGAGGGGGATTTTGGGGGCCCTGGGGGGATTTTAGGGGATTTGGGGGAGGTCCGGGTGGGATTTTGGGGGCGATTTTGAGGATGTTTTCCCGCCGCAAGGCACGATGGAAAACTCCGCGCGCAGACAAAGGACCTGGCCACGCCCCCTCCCTCCGCGCGCGGGGCACGCCGGGAAGGGGAAGGGGCGGGGCCTATCGGGGCTGGGGGCGGGGCCGGCGTGCGGCGGACGCGGCGCGTGCTCAAGGTGGGCTCGCGGCGGCGGCAGCGACGTCACCGGGGGGAGCGTGTGACGTCACGGGGGAGCGGGGCTGTGAGGGACCCTCGGCCGCGTGGGGGGGGGGGCAAGGTTCGGGCACGGGGACACCGCCAGCGTGCCCCGCCCCCCCGGGGGGCTCCGCTGTCACCTGTGTCACCCCCCCGGCCTCCGCTGTCCCCTCCAGGGCTCCCCTGTCACCTCCCGGGGCTTCTCTGTCCACTCTGTCTCCCCGCCCCAGGGGTCTGGGTCACTTCTGTCCCACCCCCGGGGTTCCCTTGTCCCCTCCAGGGCTCCCCTGTCCCCTCTCTCGCCCCCTGTGTCCCCCCCAAGGCTCCCCTGTCCGCTCTGTACCCCCCAGGTCCCCTCTGTCACCTCCCGTGTCCCCGCAGGCGATGGGGGATGGAGCGGGAGGAGGAGGAAGAGGAGGAGGAGGAGGAGGGAGCCGGGGGTGCGGCTGAGCAAGGAGCGAAGGCTGAGGAAGCCAATCCTGATGATGCTGAAGCCGGTGAAGATGCTGAGGATGCTGAGGATGCTGAGGATGAGGATGCCGAGGCCGAGGGCGTGGCGGGCCGGTTCCTGGCGCTGCAGCGCGCCCTGTCCGAGCGGCTCCGGGCGCTGCCGCCGCCGGGCCCGCCCGTGTCCGTGGTGTACGCGCCGCTCGAGTACGCGTGGGAGCCGCACCGCAGCTTCGTGCGCCGCTTCCTGCGCTCCCCCAAAGCCGTGCTGTTCCTGGGCATGAACCCCGGGCCCTTCGGCATGGCTCAGACCGGGGTGAGCGCCCCAAAACTGCCTGGGTGCCCCAAAAACCCTGAATCCAATAACCCAGACCCGTGCTGATCCTGGGCATGAACCCCGGGCCCTTCGGCATGGCTCAGACCGGGGTGAGCGCCCCAAAACTCCCTGGGTGCCCCAAAAACCCTGAATCCAATAACCCAGACCCGTGCTGTTCCTGGGCATGAACCCCGGGCCCTTCGGCATGGCTCAGACCGGGGTGGGCACCGGGAGAGGGGCTGGGGGGGCTCGGTGCAGCCGGCGAGGGCCCAGAGGGGAGGAAATGAGGCTGGGGGGATCAGGGGGTCTCTAGGGGAGGGAAACTGAGGCGCGGGGGGGGTCCCAGTGCATCCCATGGAAGGGAAACTGAGGCACGGGGGGGGTCCCAGTGCATCCCATGGAAGGGAAACTGAGGCACGGGGGGGGATCCCAGTCCATTCAATGCAGGGGAAACTGAGGCACGGGGCGCTCCCGCTCCGTCCCAGCACCGACCGCGCGGCGCGGGGCTGACTCTGTGCGGGCCGGGGCTGTCCCCGCCGTGTCCCCGCCGTGTCCCGCCCCTGACGCCCCCTCCCCGCCCCGCAGGTGCCGTTCGGCGAGGCGTGGCACGTGCGGGAGTGGCTGCGGGTGTCGGGCGCGGTGCGGCGCCCGCCCTGCGAGCACCCCAAGCGCCCGGTGCTGGGGCTGCGCTGCCCGCGGGCCGAGGTCAGCGGCGCCCGCTTCTGGGGGCTCATCCGCAGCCTCTGCCCCGACCCCCGCGCCTTCTTCCGCCACTGCTTCGTGCACAACCTCTGCCCGCTGCTCTTCCTGGCCGCCTCGGGCCGCAACGTGGCCCCGCCGGAGCTGCGGGCGGCGGAGCGGGAGCGGCTGCTGGGCCCGTGCGGGGCCGCGCTGGCCGCCGCCGTGCGGGCGCTGGGCGTGCGCCTCGTGGTGGCGCTGGGCCGCGTGGCCGAGCTGCGGGCGCGCCGGGCGCTGCGGGACGCGGGCATCGCCGTGCCCGTGGCCTGGATCCCGCACCCGTCCCCCCGCAACCCCCGCGCCAACCGCGGCTGGGAGGGCGAGGCCCGCGAGCGGCTGCGGGAGCTGGGGGTGCTGCGGCTCATGGGCGTGCGGGAGCAGGGGGGAGCGGGGGAAAACGGCGCCGGGGGGTCCCTGCTGCAGTTGGACCAGCTGGGAGCCGGGGAAAACGGGGCCGGGGGGTCCGTGCTGCAGTTGGACCAGCTGGGGACTGGGGAAAACGGGAATGGGGGGTCCCTGCTGCAGTTTGGGACTGGGGAAAACGGGGCCGGGGGGTCCCTGCTGCAGTTTGGGACTGGGGAAAACGGGGCCGGGGGGTCCCTGCTGCAGTTGGACCAGTTTGGGACTGGGGAAAACGGGAATGGGGGGTCCCTGCTGCAGTTGGACCAGCTGGGAACTGGGGAAAACGGGAATGGGGGGTCCCTGCTCCAGTTTGGGACTGGGGAAAACGGGGCTGGGGGGTCCCTGCTCCAGTGTGACCAGTTTGGGACTGGGGAAAACGGGGCTGGGGGGTCCCTGGACCAGTTTGGGACTGGGGGACAGGGGGTCGAGGGGGGACTGGACCAGTTGGGGACTGGGAGGAAGGAGGATGGGCGGTCCCTGCCCCAGTTGGACCAGTTTGGGACAGGGGAGAAGGGGATTGATGGGGCCCTGCCTCAGTTTCCCCACTCAGAACAGGACTTAGGGCAACACTCCAGGGCAGAGGGTGAACCCCTGCCTCAGTTTCTCCACTCGGGAGGGGGTTTGGGGCTCCTTTAGGGGCAGGGGATGGGCCCTGCCTCAGTTTCCCCACTCGGGGGTGGTGCTTAGGGAGCCTTTAGGGGCGGGGGAGGGTCCCTGCCTCAGTTTCCCTTTAGGAAAAAGGGGGGGGAGGGTTCGTGGGTCGCTGCCTCGCGGCGTTTTCTGTGCAATTCTGGAATTAATAAAGGCGAGAATTGGTAAAAAAGCAAGGAAAGGGTCATTGGGGGCAGGCGGGAACCAACGAACCAACCTTCTTTCCTCCCTCCCCCCTCTATTTTATTTTTGTAAAAACCCAGATTTTCCCTTTTTTCCCCCCCGTCTCTCCGGGCGCGGGCTCCGCGGATTTGTCACAATTGTTTTTATTGTCACCAATTGCCCAGGACCGGGGCGCGTTTAAATCCCCATCGATCGGGGTTTTTTCCCCAGAATTGCCGGGTTTGTGCCGATTCTCTCGGCCGACTCCAGAGGGAGCCCGGACAAGGGAGGATGAGGAGCGGCCGAGATTTCCCGGCCGGGAAAGCCTCGGGAAGGGAGCGCAGCAGCCCCGGCAAGCCCGGCTGTTCCTTCATCGGCATCCCAGGGAAATCCGGATTTTCCTGTATCTGCATCCCAGAGAAACCCAGATTTTCCCGTATCAGCATCCCAGATTTTCCTGCATCTGCATCCCAGAACATCCCAGATTTTCCGACATTGGAATTCCAAATTTTCCTACATCTGCATCCCAGAGAAATCCAGATTTTCCCGTATCAGCATCCCAGATTTTCCCGTATTAATATCCCAGATTTTCCCACACCCCATAAATTTCCCCACACCCGATTCTCCCAGGTTTTCACCCCAAAACCTCCCTCCCATTTTTGGGACAGCCCCTCCCCCACCCGGGGTCACAGCGGGGTCACCGCCGCCCCTCCCCCACCCCCGCGTCCCTTCCCCGCCCATCCCCGGCACCGGGGGGCGACCCCCGAACCCCCCCCCGGCCCCGATCGATGCCGCCGCCGCCCTCCCGCCCCTCGGCCCCGAGCGCGGGGTTCGGGGATTTTTGGGGCATTTTCCGCGGATCCCCGCCGCTGTTGGCCGCGGTTCCTCATTGGCATTCCGGGCCCGGCCTGACCTCTCCTTGCACCCGCAGCCGGGGCGGGGCCGGCGCGGCGGCTGCGCCCGGGAGCGCCCAGCGCGCTCTAATTCGGCGATTACTGTCACAGGGCCGTTTGTCACCGTGTCACCGCCCCGGGGACACTCGGCGGACGTCAGGGCCCCCCCGCCCTGCCCGGCGCTGCTTTCATCGCTGCGGATCCGATTCGAGAGCGCGGGGGAAGGGGCGAGCGGGGCGAGGCTCCAGCGCCACAAACCCGCAGTTTAACAAATCCCCCTTTCCGTAAATCCGCAATTTAACAAATCCCCGTTTCCACAAATCCCCGTTTCCCGGTGTTTCCAGTTCCACAAATCCCCATTTTCCTAAATCCCCGTTTCCACAAATCCACATTTTCCTAAATCCCCGTTTCCGCAAATCCCCATTTTCCCAAATCCTCATTTCCCGGTGGTTCCAGTTCCTCAGATCCCCATTTCCACAAGTCCCCATATTGCTATTTTCCCATTTCCACAAATCCCCATTTCCTTGTATTTCCAGTTCCACAAATCCCCATTTTCCTGCGACTTCATCTCCCCAAATCCCAATTACCCAGTGTTCCCAATTCCACTAATTCCCGTTTTCCTGCATTTCCACTCCCATAAATCCCCATTTTCCCAGTGTTTCCAGTTCCATACGTCCCCATTGCCCCGTGATTCCATTTCCGTAAATCCCCATTTCCCCAAAACCCCATTTCCCGGTTTTTCCAGTGCCCCAAATCCCCATTTCCCTGCATTTCCAGTTGCCCTAAACCACCCCAAAAATCCCCGGGATGAGGACGGACAGACAGACAGAGGGAGGGAGCTCCCCACCCCCAATTAATCCCCGCATCAATTAAACACCGGCCAGGGCTGCGCTGCCTTCATTAACGCTCCCGCTGTTAATTACAGCAACAGGCGGGAGCCGCCCTCCCCCCCCTTTCCTCATTAATTAATTGCTGTCAGTAATTAATAGATCCTGGTGCTGGCCAAGGAGGCCAACCTCAAGTGTCCCCAGATTGTCATCGCGTTCTACGAGGAGCGGCTGACGTGGCACGCGTACCCCGAGGACAGCGAGCCCAAGGAGCGGGACCCCCCCCGCAGCTAAGCCCCCTCCCCAATCTGTACAGACACCCCGGACTGTCCCCTGGCCCCTCCCGTGTGCCCCTGGGCACAGGGGGACCCTTCCCTGCCCCGGGGGTGTCCCCAGCCTGTCCCCACCCCCGGGGCAGGTTTGGGGGGTGGCCCCGATTTTGGTGTTTTTTAAAGTCGGTGTTTTTAGCCGGGGCCCCCCCGGGGTGTCCCCGTGTCCCCCTGTCCCCTCTGATCCCCACCCCCGTGTTGTCCCCAAGCCCCCGGATTTGCTTCCAATAAACAACGGTCACTTTTCAGAGCTGCCACCTGTGGGGCTGGGGACACCGCTGGCACCAACACGGCCTGGTGTCACCACACAGTGTCACCAGCATGGCCTGGTGTCACCAGCGTGGCCCAGTGTCCCCAACATGGCCCAGTGTCCCCTCAGTGTCCTCCAGTGTCACCAACATGGCCTGGGGACCCCAGCATGGCCTGGTGTCACCAACATAGCCCAGTGTCACCAGCGTGGCCTGGTGTCCCCCCACCAGTGTCCCCTGCCCAGTGTCCCGCCGGTGCCCCCTGCTGGTGACCGCGGGCGCTGCACGGGCACGGCTCGGTGGCAGCGCCCGTGCCACACGGGCCAAGCACACGCAGTCGCCGATGCGGGGGACGGTGAAATGGCGATAATTAACGGGCGAACGGGGTCATTTATAACGGGGGGTAACGGTAAAAGGGCAGGGGTTCCGCCTGAGCGAAACCTCGCGATATCTTGAGCGAAACCTCGCGATATCTTGAGCGTAACCTCGCGATATCTTGAGCCAAACCTCGCGATATCTTCCCACATTTCCCCCGCCTTTTATGACCCGCTAAAAATTTGGAAAATGCTGAGGTCGAAACTGGCGAGTGCGAAACGCGTGTAACTGGCAAAATGTACTGAACGTGAGCAATGTAACACAACCGTAACAAACTTGTAAGTGTAGGTGTTTAACAAACGAAAAGTTAACTATCTCTGTTTGTTTTTGTTTTGGGGTTTTTTTTTGTTGTTTTGTTTTGGGTTTTTTTGTTTTGTTTTACAAACTATGTCTTTAATAGGGGTGCTGAGGATGGGGGCAGCGTGGCTCAGGGGCTGTGGGACAGGAGCATCCAGGGCCGGCTCAGCCCTGGGCTCCAGCGCGGCCTCGCCCAGCGCCAGGTCCCCGTAGCGCTCGGCTCTGCGCTGCCCCAGGTGCTCCCGCGCCACCTCCTCCGTGGGGCACTGCTTCAACTTCACCCGGCCGAAGCTGCGATCCTGCGCCGTGCCCTCCCAAACCAGAGAGCATTTGTTTGTTTTCTTAATGGACCGAGCAGACCTGTCATTATCATCCTCTCCCTTTGTGTTTGACGTCCGCTCGTCCCACTTTATTCGATGCAGCACAAGGCGTTTGAATTTCTTCTGCGCTTTCGGGCCTCCTTCAGCACCACCACATTGACAGCTTTGTGCAGGACCCCCGCTCCTGTGAGGTGCAGCTGCCCAGCATTTGCCTCGATTTTGAATCTTTTTGCTGGACTGCTCAAGTTTCGAAGCCTGTACACAGCTATGTGAACTCCCTGGGAAACGTCTTCCTTCAGCTTTTTCACCTTCTTGGCTTTGCACTGCTCTGCCGTGAGCTTCTGTGCTGCGTCCGCCTCCTCGTGAGCCTTCTGCCTCTTGGCCACCTGTGCTCGGATGTGAGCTTCCACCTTTGTTGGCTCCTGCACAGGTTGGAAATCCTCGCTCTGGGCTCTGCTGGTGGCACCAGGCCCAGCCTGACCTTCTCCTGCAGCTCCTTCTGGGCTTCTCGCCGTGTCTGGCGCCGTAATTCCTTCTGCTCTTTCTTTGTTAGATACACGCCCGGGGTCACGGGCGTGTCGCTGTCCACTGGGGGGCTGAGCTGGGCTGGGTGCTCCACCAGGCTGGTGACCCCAAAGAATTCGTCTTTCTTGGGGCCACGCCACCTTTGAACCCCAGGCCGTTGGGGATGATGCAGGAGTCCCACCACTCGGTCTCTGGGATCTCCCCCTCCTTCAGCTCCTTCTTTGGGGTGATCAGAGCCAACTTGGTGGACGTGTGGATCCCAGTTTTCCTGGCAGCCTGGGAGATCTCTGCCTGCAGCTTTTCTACCTGAGCCTTTGTTCTCAGCCTTTGGGCAATTCTCTCAAATTTGCCTTTTTCATGGAAATTAAAGCTGCGTTTCTGCCGCTGGGCCGGGGTTATGGAGACCCGGGGTCAAAGTACATGTTTGATTCCATATCTTCTGAGGGCTTTTCCTTCAGCTGCTGCTTGAACTGCTCCCTCTTCCGGGCCCTGATGCTGGCCTTCAGGGTGGGCATGTGGTGGGTGAGCTCAATCTCCTTCCCGCTGGCATCCACGGTCCGGCCCTGCTCATCCAGGACCAGCGGTGCTGGCTTGGTCCGATCCTTCAGCTCCGCTTTCGGGGCCGCGATGCCCAGGGCGTGCAGCTTGGCCGGTCCCACCGTGCTGGCACTGCCAATGAGCCCTGGCTTCAGCTGAGCCTGGATCCTGGCCTGCAGCTCTGCAGCCTTCCTGGCCTTCTCCATGGCACCGTTCATGAATGTGGCTGCCTGAGAGGCCTGGATGGTGCTGCCGATGGGGAGCCGCTCCGGCTGGCATGAAGAAGAAATTTTGGCCTGTGGTGTTGGAGGACTGATGAATCTCAGCTGTTTTTTCCTCTCCTCAATCTGTCGTGTGGCTGCCTCCATCATCTGTTTGATCTGGAGCTCGGTCAGCATCCCTGGGCTCTCCGATGGTGGGCCTGGAATGACTTCAGGCTCCTCCTCAACCTCCTCGAACCGTGGGATGCGCCGTTTCTTGGCACCAGAGGGTTCCCTGGACACCTCAGCGCCATCCCCCAACACGTCCTTTAGCTCCCGTTTGCGGTTCCGGTCGCTGTTGGATTTGGCGCGCTGGGAGCTCCGTCCTTCCTCCACTGCCTCCAAGAGCTTGTCCACAAATCTCAGGGTGGGCTCATCCAGGAAGGGTCTGAGGTGCTCAGCTGCTTTTCTCTGCTCCATGCCCTCGCCCGCGCAGCTGAGGGCCGCAGTGACCGCGGTGGGCTCCGAGAAGCCGGGCACGCGTTTCCCCCTCTTCTCCATCCACGGCTTCAGCTCGTCCAGCTCCCGCCTGGACAGAGGCATCTCCGCTCAGGCGGCGCCGTTCCCGGTCCCGGTCCCGGCCCGGCGGCCCCTGGAGGTAACGGCGCCTCGGGGCGGGAGCGGGAAGGTCCCCGGTTCGTTCCCAGGTTTCGGCAGCGCTTCTTGCCGCCGCTTGGTGCGCGGCGTCCCGGATCGAGCACGGCTCGGTGGCAGCGCCCGTGCCACACGGGCCAAGCACACACAATCACCAATGCGGGGGACGGTGAAACGGCGATAATTAACGGCCGAACGGGGTCATTTATAACGGGGGAAACGGTAAAAGGGGAGGGCTTCCGCCTGAGCGTAACATCGCGATATCTTGAGCGTAACATCGCGATATCTTGAGCGAAACATCGCGATATCTTCCCACGCCCAAAAACCCCTGGGCCTGAACCCGGGGAGCTCGGGGTGGCTCGGACCGGGGCGAACACCGGGGGGCACCGGGAAAGGGACCAGGAGGGAGCCGGGGGAAAGGAGGATGGAGGGGAGCTGGACCCCTCCAGTTGGGGACTGGGGGGAAGAAGGATGGGGAGGTCTCTGCCCCAGTTTGACCAGTTGGAAACTGGGAAAAAGGGGATTAGGGGTCCCGTCCCCAGTTTGGGACTGGGAAAAAGGGGATTAGGGGGTCCCTGCCCCAGTTTGGGACTGGGGGGATGAGTGTTGATGGGGCCCTGCCTCAGTTTCCCCACTCAGGAACTGGGAGCGAGGAGGTTGGAGGGCCCCTGCCCCACTTTAGGCTGTTTGGCACTGGGGAGAAGGGGATTGGTGGGGCCCTGCCTCAGTTTCCCCACTCGGGGGTGGTGCTTAGGGAGCCTTTAGGGGCGGGGCATGGGCCTTGCCTCAGTTTCCCTTTAGGAAAAAGGGGGGGGAGGCTTTGTGGGTCGCTGCCTTCGCCATGTTTTCTGTGCAATTCTGGAATTAATAAAGGCGAGAATTGGTAAAAAAGCAGGGAAAGGGTCATTGGGGGCAGGCGGGAACCAACGAACCAACCTTCCTTCCTTCCTTCCTTCCTTCCTTCCTTCCTTCCTTCCTTCCTTCCTTCCTTCCTTCCTTCCTTCCTTCCGCCACTTCCTTCCGCCACTTCCTTCCGCCACTTCCTTCCTTCCTTCCGCCACTTCCTTCCGCCACTTCCTTCCGCCACTTCCGCCACTTCCTTCCGCCACTTCCTCCCTCCCCCCTTTATTTTATTTTTCTAAAAACCCAGATTTTCCCCTTTTCCCCCACTTTTCCCCCCCGTCTCTCCGGGCGCGGGCTCCGCGGACTTGTCACAGATTTTATTGTCACCAATTGCCCACAACTGGGGCGCCTTTAAATCCCCATCAATGTCGCTGTGATGGTGCCATGATCTGACATTGATTTTGCCATGATCTGACAGTGATTGATGCCATGATCGGACATTGATTGATGCCATGATCTGACAGTGATTTTGCCATGATCTGACATTGATTGATGCCATGATCTGACAGTGATTTTGCCATGATCTGACAGTGATTGATGCCATGATCTGACAGTGATTGATGCCATAACCTGACATTGATTGATGCCATGATCTGACATTGATTGATGCCATGATCGGACATTGATTGATGCCATGATCTGACAGTGATTTTGCCATGATCTGACATTGATTGATGCCATAACCTGACAGTGATTTTGCCATGATCTGACATTGATTGATGCCATAACCTGACATTGATTTTGCCATGATCTGACATTGATTGATGCCATGATCTGACAGTGATTGATGCCATAACCTGACAGTGATTTTGCCATGATCTGACAGTGATTGATGCCATGATCGGACATTGATTGATGCCATGATCTGACAGTGATTTTGCCATGATCTGACAGTGATTGATGCTATGATCTGACAGTGATTGATGCCATAACCTGACAGTGATTGATGCCATGATCTGACAGTGATTTTGCCATGATCTGACATTGATTTTGCCATGATCTGACAGTGATTTTGCCATGATCTGACAGTGATTGATGCCATAACCTGACAGTGATTGATGCCATAACCTGACAGTGATTGATGCCATGATCTGACAGTGATTTTGCCATGATCTGACAGTGATTTTGCCATGATCTGACAGTGATTGATGCTATGATCTGACAGTGATTGATGCCATGATCTGACATTCATTGATGCCATAACCTGACAGTGATTGATGCCATAACCTGACAGTGATTTTGCCATGATCTGACAGTGATTGATGCCATGATCTGACATTGATTGATGCCATGATCTGACAGTGATTTTGCCATGATCTGACAGTGATTTTGCCATGATCTGACATTCATTGATGCCATAACCTGACAGCGATGGCCGTGCCCGCCCGGAGCATCCCCGGTGCGGGGTGGATGCGGTGCCTCTGCCCCCGCCCCGCCGGGACCCCTCCCCAATTATCCCCTTTTGTTTTAACCCGGGATTCCCCTCCCGGGGGTCCCCGCATCGCCCCTCATTCCCTGCCTGGCTTTGGGGCGGCCGGGCCCCTTTAGGATTTGTCATTTTGGTTTTTTTTGCCCGGAATTGCCGGGTTTGTGCCGATTCTCTCGGCCGACTCCAGAGGGAGCCCGGACAAGGGAGGATGAGGAGCGGCCGAGATTTCCCAGCCGGGAAAGCCTCGGGAAGGGAGCGCAGCAGCCCCGGCAAGCCCGGCTGTTCCTCCATCGGCATCCCAGGGAAATCCGGATTTTCCCGTATCTGCATCCCAGAGAATTCCAGATTTTCCCGTATCAGCATCCCAGATTTTCCTGCATCTGCATCCCAGAACATCCCAGATTTTCCGACATTGGAATTCCAAATTTTCCTACATCCGCATCCCAGAGAATCCCAGATTTTCCCGTATCAGCATCCCACATTTTCCCGTATTAATATTCCAGATTTTCCCACACCCCATAAATTTCCCCACACCCGATTTTCCCAGGTTTTCGCCCCAAAACCTCCCCCCCCCCCTTTTTTTTGGGGACAGCCCCTCCCCCACCCGGGGTCACAGCGGGGTCACCGCCGCCCCTCCCCCGCCCCGATCTATTAATTACTGACAGCAATTAATTAATGAGGAAAGGGGGGGGGAGGGCGCCTCCCGCCTGTTGCTAATTAACAGCGGGAGCGTTAATGAAGGCAGCGCAGCCCTGGCCGGTGTTTAATTGATGCGGGGATTAATTGGGGGTGGGGAGCGCTCGCCTCTGCTCCAAGGGCGCTCCCTCCCTCTGTCCGTCTGTCCGTCCTCATCCCGGGGATTTTTGGGGTGGTTTAGGGCAACTGGAAATGCAGGGAATTTGAGGCACTGGAAAAACCGGGAAATGGGGATTTGGGGAAATGGGGATTTATGGAAATGGAAACACGGGAAAGTGGGGATGTATGGAACTGGAAGCACCGGGAGAATTGGGATTTATGGGAGTGGAAATGCAGGAAAACGGGGATTTGAGGAACTGGAAACACTGGGAAATTAAAACGCGGGGAAATGCGGGTTTGGGGAACTGGAAATACCGGAAAATGGGGATTTTTGGAAATGGGGATTTGTGTAAATGGAAACCCGGGAAAATGGGGATTCAAGGAACTGGAAACACCGGGAAACGGGGATTTGTGGAAACGGGGATTTGTTAAATTGCGGGTTTGCGGAAAGGGGGATTTGTTAAATTGCGGGTTTGTGGCGCTGGAGCCTCGCCCCGCTCGCCCCTTCCCCCGCGCTCTCGAATCGGATCCGCAGCGATGAAAGCAGCGCCGGGCAGGGCGGGGGGGCCCTGACGTCCGCCGAGTGTCCCCGGGGCGGTGACACGGTGACAAACGGCCCTGTGACAGTAATCGCCGAATTAGAGCGCGCTGGGCGCTCCCGGGCGCAGCCGCCGCGCCGGCCCCGCCCCGGCTGCGGGTGCAAGGAGAGGTCAGGCCGGGCCCGGAATGCCAATGAGGAACCGCGGCCAACAGCGGCGGGGATCCGCGGAAAATGCCCCAAAAATCCCCGAACCCCGCGCTCGGGGCCGAGGGGCGGGAGGGCGGCGGCGGCACCGATCGGGGGGGGTTCGGGGGTCGCCCCCCGGTTCCGGGGATGGGCGGGGAAGGGACGCGGGGGTCCCGGCGCGGCTCCCGCGGGGGTTTGGGGCGGTTTGCAGCGATTTGGGGAGCGCTCCAAGGGCGCGGCGGTGCCAGAGCCGCGGGTCCCGTGTCCCCCTGTCCCCGTGTCCCCCTGTCCCTGTGTCCCCATCCTGGCCGTGTCCCCGTGTCCCGGCGTGCGGCGCCTTCCCAGCGGGACACGGGAACGGGAATTGTGTGAAACGGGGGAACACCGGGAATTGGGGATTTGGAGACCTGGAAACGCGGGGAAATGGGGATTTGGGGAAATGGGGATTTACGGAACTAGGAACGCAGGAAAATGCGATTTCCAGCCCGGACACCTTCCCGGGGCTCTGCACACCGGAGCGCCCCGGAGGAGGATCCGGGGGTGCAAATCCCGGTCCGGGGGTGCCAATCCCGGTCCGGGGGTGCAAATCCCGGTCCGGGGGTGCCAATCCCGGGTCCGGGGGTGCAAATCCCGGTCCGGGGGTGCCAATCCCGGTCCGGGGGTGCCCCCCGGGCTGGTTTAACCCCCGCCGTGCCGGGGCCAGGCGGGCCCGTGCCGGAATTCCCGGGATGCGCCGCCGCCCCCGCGCGGGTTTCGGGTGCTGCAAATCCTCCCGGTGGTGCCGAAAATTTCGGATCAAAATCCCCAAAACCGCAGCCCCCGCCTCCGCCCGTGCGGAAGCTCCTCGGGGAAAGGCGAGAAAACCGCAGAGGGAGGAGAACTGAGCGCTTTTTCCGCCTCGTTTTTCCTCGTTCCGTGCTCGTTCTCCTCCCTCGGAACCCCGGGCCGGGCTGTGCCGGGAGCAGCGGCTCCGGGCACGGAATGAGCGCTGGAAATCGGGAGGTTCCGGCGTTTTGGGGACGTTTCGGGTGTTTGGGAGCCCCCGGCGGGGAGGGGACGGCGGCGGTGTCACCGCGGGGGCCGGGGATGAAAAGG